AAATAGCATAAATAATATAATAATGCATGGGTGGGCCTAGAGGTCGTGGACCATGCTAGAAACAAGTTTCAAACATGAAAAGATAGGTCCATTTGGAAAAAATTCAAGTTTGGTCAATATTGGCTTCATGCACTTTTCCAAAAATTGGTCAACTTTAGCAATGCACATCTATCTCATTTTGTAACCCTAATAGGGTGTTCTTGGACTTTTTAGAAAACTTAGGATGTCCTCTAAACAACCATTTTGGTTTCATTTCAATTGGATCTTCCATGTTCATTTAAGGACCTATAATGTCTGAGGTTGTATCTTTTAACTGGGGCATTTCTTGATCTTGAGAGCTGAAGAGAAGCTGTAGAGAATTATATTCTCTTCAAAATGAGCTTTGGTGGAAAAATTTCTGATAAAGTATGAGAAAGGTATGCCTGGTCAAAGTTTGGTTGACTTTTCCTATAGAAACCCTAATTTTCTATTTTTGACTTTTGATAAGTTAGGAGCATTTCTTGAGGAATCATAATCGAACCTTGATCAAATGATGGACATTACTTCAAAATGTTGATGTTGACCAAAAATCTTGAAGTTTGACTGTATATAGGCCACAATTGACTTTTGACCTAGTACAGTTGATTTTCAGGCATTTGAGTAGTTGATTGAGAAAACTTGTTGTGTAGGGCATGAAATTTGGCATGGATAACCTTGAGGACATATTAGGAACATGTACAACATTTGAGACCATTGGGGTTCACACATCTTGATGAAAATTGAAACCCTAGTTAGAGGTTCATTGCCTTAGGGGGAGAATTTGCCTGGTCAATTCTTGGTCATCTATGGGCAAGTTGGGGACCTCAATAGGCATGTGTTGAGTAAAATGAGAGGGAAAATTTTAGGGTACAACAGGTGAGAAGCATGCAGAAAGAGAAGAAGCTTCCTCATACTTTGTGGGGAGAAGCTGTTGCCACTGCATGTTATGTGCTCAACATATGTCCAATGAAGAAGCTAAAGGAAATAGTTCTTATTCAGAAGTGGACTGGAGATAAGAAAAGTGTTAGTCATCTGAAGGTGTTTGGTTCTGTATGTTACAAACATGTCCCAGAAGCCAGAAGATAGAAGACATAAGCTGGATGATATAAGTAAAGTAATGTTACTGGTGGGGTACCACAGTACAGGTTCATACAAACTTTATTCTCTAGAAACTAACAAAGTTGAGTTCAGCAAAGACGTCATTGTAAAAGAATCAGAAGTATGGAAGTGGGAAGGGCTCGTGCTGACTCTGATGAGAGAACTCCTGAAGAAAAGTCAGAAACACATGTTTCTGAAGCTGGTAAAGACTTTGACTCTGAAGAAGATTCAGAAGGTGAAGATGATTCTGACTCTGACTCCGATGGTGGTTCAGACTCTGGGAATTTTCCAGACTCTGAAGACAGTCAAGCTTCTGGAGAAAGTCAAATTTCTGAAGCAAGAGCTTCTGAAGGGGAAAGTTATGGTGTCCGAGGTTCTGAAGTTAAAATTCAGAGGCAACAAAGAGTCAGAAACATCCCAAGAAGATTTACAGAGTTTGACATGTTATAAGACACTAAAGTAGACTCCGAAGGAGAAGTTATTCAGTATGCAATATTAGTAGACTCTAAATCCGTGAGTACGAAAGAGGCTCTTAAGCAGCAAGTCTGGTTGCAAGCCATGAAAGAACTTGATGCTATAGAGAGAAACAAGACTTGGAAGCCGACAAAACTTCCAAAAGGCAAAAAAGCCATCAACATCATATGGGTTTTCAAGTAGAAGCTAAAGCCAGATGGATCAATTGGAAAACACAAAGCAATATTAGTAGCAAGAGACTTTCTACAGAATCCTGGGCTGGATTACTCTGAAGTGTTTGCACCTGTAGCGACACATTAAACAATTCGACTAGTGATTTCAATAGTTGCTAACAGGAATTGGCCTCTAATGCATTTAGATGTAAAATATGCATTTCCGAATGGTCCATTACAAGAAGAGGTATACGTGTCACAACCTCCTGGATTTGAAAAAAAATCAGGAAGGGATGGTGTTCAAATTACATAAAGCCTTGTATGGATTGAAGTAAGCGCCCAGAGCCTGGAATCTAAAGATTGATTCATTTTTCAAGGAACAAGGGTTTCAGAAGTGTGAGATGGAGTATGGTGTTTATGTTCAACACACTTCAGAAGGTAAAATGATTCTGGTATGTTTGTATGTTGATGACATATTGCTTATAGGAAGTTCTGAACAAGAGATAACTGAGTTCAAGAAGGTTTTGATGAATGAGTTTAAAATGACAGATCTTGGGAAAATGAGTTTCTTTCTAGGGATGGAGTTTATGTACTCTGAGAAAGAAATTATTTTGCATCAGATGAAGTATAAACTTGAGCTTTTGAAGAGATTTGAATTATAGAATTGCAAAGTTGCTATCGCACCTGCTGATACGAATAAGAAGTTGGACTCTGATTTTGATGGAGAGGATGTGGATGCTACAACCTTCAAACAGATGGTTAGTTCTCTGAGATATTTGTGTAATACCATACCTAATATTTGCTATGCAGTTGGAATAGTTAGCAGATTTATGAGTAAACCAAAGTGGTCTCATTACCAAGCTGCTGTCAGGATTTTGAGGTATGTGAAGGGAACTTTGAAGTATGAAGTGTTATTTCCTTCTAGAAGGAAGATTAAACCAGAACTTCTGAGTTATTCAGACTCTGATTGGTGTGGAGACAAAGTTGGCAGAAGAAGTACTTCTGAGTACTTATTCAAATTTCTGGGAGGTCCTATTTCTTTGTGTTCCAAGAAGAAACCTATTGTTGCACTGTCAACCTGTGAAGCTGAATATATTGCAGGAGCTCTGACTGCATGCTAAGCTGTGTGGATTATGAACTTGCTGCAAGATCTGAAGATTAAGGTAGATAAACCTCTGAATCTGATGATTGATAACAAGTCTGCAATCAATCTTTCCAAGAACTCAGTGTTACATGGGAGAAGCAAACATATTGAGATCAAGTATCACTTTCCGAGGAATCAGGTTCAGAGTGGAATATTAGAAGTTATACACTATATCACCCAGAAGTAGCTGACAGACGTTCTAACAAAGGCTATCAAGACTGATCAATTTCTTTGTTTGAGGGATGTAATTGGTGTTGTCAGTTTTGTGTAAATATAAATTAAGGGATGGTGTTGGAATTAATTTATATTTTAGGAATATCTTATTGATTAAGTTTGTTAGAGGGTATTTTAGTATTTTATTATACCCTAATTTTGTATATAAATAGCCTAGTAGTAGGTAGATCAATATAATTCATTATTCCTTATTTTGTAGCCGTCATTCAATATATTCCTTTTGTCTTTCATCTCTCCTTTGTGCACCAATATATATGTCATTTAGGTTTGTAAACTTAAATATTTTAAAGTGGTTTTTTTTGTTTTGTTTTGATTCTCATGTTTTTTTGTACTATCGATATTTCATTTTAATTTATTAAACATATATATATATATATATATATATATATATATATATATATATATATATATATATATATATATATATATATATATATATATATATATATATATATATATATATATATTAGTGTTATAAAATAAAATTTCAATAACTTTATAAAAATCATGTCTATTTTGTCAAACTTTAGTTATATGATAAGTAAAGAGTTTAAAATGTTAGTTGCTATATTAAATTAATTATTTTTTTAATTTATTATTATTTAATATTTTCATTATTGAGATTGTAAAGAAATTATTTGATTTTGTCGTTGATATCAATTAAAATATGAGTGTTCTTTTTTTATTCATTATCATAGATGATTTTACTATACTCTCTATGATCACTATTATAAAGCAAAAGAGTAAAATACGTTGAAAAAATTCTATATTCTCTCATATGCGAGAAATCATAAATATTGTTGATTGTCTTTTTAGTTCGTTATTTGGTATTATATGAAAAATATAATAATAAAGTATATAGACATGATAAAAGATTGTTGCATACTATATTACATTTTAAGATGAACAAATAATGACTTATCATTCAAAATTGTTTAAGAATTATTTTAAAACTAATATTTCAGGTGTTACTTTTATTGCTAAAATTATATTTTAGGAAAATAAAAAATATTTTATTGGGTTTGAATTTTCTCACCTCTTTTGTATGGTATTTTGTTATTTGTCATTAATTTATTATTTGATATTATATAAAAAATATAATAGTAAAATATATAGACACCGTAAAAGATTGTTGTCTACTATATTATATTTTAAAATAAGTTTAAAATGACTTATATTTGAAAATTATGTAAGAACTACTTTAAGATTAAAAATATTTATTTCAAGTATTATTTTTATTGCTATAATTTAAGGAAAACAAAAAATATTTTATTGTGTTTGGATTTCCACATCTCTTTTATTTTTGAAATATGAGAGGATATTTTTAATTTAAAGGAATATACATAGTTGGAACAATGATTGATTTGTTAGACTAATTTGTTCAAAAAGATTTTATTCGTCTTTGCGAAGGTTCGAACCTGTGTCCTCCAATATGTAGAAGTATTGTATTTGACATTTTAAAGGGGTGAAAATGAGTTTTAGAATGTGTCACATAGGATTATAGGATAATATGGAAAATTTTAGAGTTATCTATAATTTAAGAAAACTCATTCTACCCAAAAACCCTATTTTATCCTTTTGTTCCAAAATCGTGACACCTAGCTTCATGAGTGTTAAGCATATAAAAAAAGTCAGTCATGCTTTTTCCATAATTCGCCATGTGAATGTCCCACCTCAATTGTTTTTTCCAATTGTTCCTCATTTATTCTTTCCACCTCCAATCTTCCACTGCAATCTTCCTTTATATTCTCATGGCGATTAGGATCTTATTTTTTTTCCATTCCACACTTCCAATACCAGCGGTTACAGCCTTTCATGGTTAATGGTCTGTTTCAATATGGATAGTTCTATCGCCATGCCTATGTCGTCTACACAAATGTATGAGTCTTTCTCACCTTTTCATCAATTACCTTTCTATCAACAAATCTCAACCTATAAACCTGATGATTCTACTCTTACCTTCCATATTCATGATTCAAAGAAACGATTCAGAGACTCCACAAACGAATCCAAATGACTTCAACCACCACACAAAATCAAACTCTCAAATCAATCCAATCTTCTTGACCCGTCCATTCTCCATCTCCACCATTCTCAACAATCCGAAATCGGTCATATTCCTACAAATCGATCAAAGTCATCCTACAAATGTGGCGGATCTGTGTTTTTGTGGGGTGGTGGTGGTCGGAGCTAAAACTCAAACTACGATTGTTATGTTTTTTGGTGATGGATTTTTCGTCGGTGTCAGTGATTATTCTGAGTCTGAAAGGTATTTTTGAAACTCAAATATTTTGGCGGGTATTGATTTTTTATCTCCTGTATAAGATGTTTATGGAGATTTATTGACATTTTCAGAGACACCTACGATTTGTTTTTCAGAGACCATGAATGAGTTGTCTAAAGATTAAGTTATGTAAATATTTTTCTCTGTAGGCTGTTTTCATTTTCTCCTGTATAAGATGTTCCTGTCAATTTATTAACATTTTCAGGGATATCTACGATTTATTTTTTAGAGACCATGAATAAGCTGTCTAAAGATTGAGTAAGTTATGTAAATATTTTTCTCTGTAGGATGTTTTCATTTTAATAATAGTTAAGTTGCGATTTCCAATAAATATGATCTGATTAGTGGCTGGTTTTCAAAATGATTGATGTGTGTGAAATGATAAAAAAATGTATACCCACCAAGTGTTTGATAAAATTCTTCATTGAAACCTTTATGTGACTTTCTATTTCCTCAATGTTGTAGGTACTCTTCCAAGAAGCATCAAAGCGTATATACCTAATCATCATTATATGTCTTTCAAGAACACTTCACAGGTGCTACATATTAAGGGCTTGCCACTGAATTAGAAGGAAAATTGGACAAATCCATCAATTATACTCAAAGGATCCACTCTACAACAAGGTAATTTTATTTGTCATTTATAATTAAACATGGATCTATTGGAATTTGACTAATTTCTCTTTCTAATTTCTATTTTCTTCCTGAAGAATTCAAAGCAAATACATGTGCATCACTATAGAGATAAAGGAAGGACAATACTTACAATTGGTTAAATTTCACAGTTTGATAGTGCTAGAAAGCATGGAATTATTTTGGAAGCAGTACAAATTCTCATATATCTAAACATTTTTATTAAGAAAGCATATGCTTCCTCTGATGGCAAATGGTTCATGGATGGTAAGAGAATTTTTTAATCAAGTTCTTTGTTGTGATAATTATCATTCTCTTTGTCCTAATTTTTTTTTGGTTCAATGATCAGTTTTTCATGTTACAGATCAAGATGGAAATAAGTTAACAGATGAGAGTGTTTTGAAGTATATCAAACATATATTTTACTAATTTACTATTAATTGTTTCTTTAGAAGTAATTATTTATTATTCATTATGTTAATCTGAAATTTTATGTTATGTTGTATTAGTCACTTGGTAGCATTCATAATGGAAAAACCAATCATAGAAATGGTCTCACTGCGTTGGACTTAAAGGGGACGAATTGTGTTGGTCTTCTTTCTGAAGTGTTTGCGGTATTGGCTGACTTTCAATGTGATGTGGTCGAGGCTAAAGTTTGGACACACAATGGCTGGACTGCTTCTTTAATTTATATTAACGACTGCGCCTATGGGACTTCTATTGAGGATTCTCAAAAAGTTAATCGGCTCGAAGCACGTTTGAGATATGTTTTACAAGGAGATAGTGATCTTAGGTACCTCTACTACAAAATAAGTTGTGTGTTGCCACGTGACTCTCACGCCGCTAACACCAAAATTATGTCACAACTTTGTTTTTGCCACCTGAAGAAACACGTCGCTGGAGAGCGCGTGGTAATGTTGTTGCGACATGGGAAACATGTCACAACGTTGCCACGTGAAATTCACGCTGCAACAAATTTTATGGGGTCAAAGGCAGTTAGAGCAGAGGTCAGAGCAGGTTTTATATTCACTTTTACGTTGTGTGTTGCGGCGTGTTTTTCATGTCACTAATTTGTGATGTGGAAAACATGCCGCAACTTATTTAAAAAAAAAATTATTTTCTGTTTTAAATATAATAATTCTGATATAGTAATTAATATTATTTTCTGTTTCATTAAATTTATAAATTAAATATTATAATTTATTTATTAAATTCAATATTATAAATCAAATTATCAAAAATAAAACTAAATATATCAAAATATATAAATTAATATACTTAATATAATAAAATTAATAAACTAAAATTTAAATTTAATATTTTTAAATATAAAATATGATTATAAATTTATATTAGTACACAAATAAAAAACTAAATAGAAAATAAAAATAAAACTAAGCAGAAGGATCATTCGAGTCGTCGGAAAAGTCGCGAAGAAAGTCATCATTATTTTGGTGGTTATTATTTTGGCCACCATTGTTGGGATTTCCACCAAATGCTTGCATAAATTGTCGCATTTGTTCCTCCATATCAGCCCATCTCTTCGCCATTGCCTCCATTTCTCTATTATGTTCACCCCTCATTGCCTCTATTTGGGCCTTCAATGCCGCCTCCATTTGGGCCTTCAATGCAGCCTCACGTTCTTCGGACCCGCGTCTAACCAATTGTCTTACCGTTTCTAACTGATCTGGTGTCAAATTTGTTTGACGTGACCCTCCTTCACCGTCTGCAGCTCTCTGATACAGAGTTCTATCCCTACTCCTCAAGGTGCCCGCCAAATTTCCACCACCAAAAAAGCACATGTTAGGCCCCTTTCCCCAACAACTAGACTCCAAATATAGAAATTCACATATGGATGAACCGGTTTTCCCGGATGTGGAGTATACTGAGGATTATGGGTCAGAAATTCTACAAACAAGGCCTGATAATCCTCCTACACATACAATAAAAAAATCAAGTTAAATATATAAGTAAAATTAATGAAATTAAATTAAATAAAAAAAACATAATAAAAAACATATAGCGACGTGATTGTAACGCCACAACTTATCATTTGCCACTCAAATATTCTATTTACTGCAAATTTATATAATCAAAACTTTTTTAATTAGAAATATTAATTAATCAACTTAATAATAATCCAAAACATATTGTTCTTGTTCTTATTACTACTAAAAATATACTATGTATATATACTATTAAACATAAACATATGCTTTTATTTTAACTATTTTTAATATATAATGTTTTTTATTATATACTATTAAATATACTATTAATATAGTTTATTAAATATATAATAATTAATATAATATTTTTTATTGACATATAATATAGAATATACTATGTATATATACTATTAAACATAAACATATGCTTTTATTTTAACTATTTTTAATATATAATGTTTTTTATTATATACTATTAAATATACTATTAATATAATTTATTAAATATATAATAATTAATATAATATTTTTTATTGACATATAATATAGTTTTTATAAAACAATTTTTAATTATAAAATCATTTTTATTAACATACATATAATATATAATAATTAAATACATAAACCAGTTTTTTATATATAATGTTTTATAACATACTATATATAATATTTTATTGACATATAATGTTTTTTAACATACTATATTAATGTTTTATTAACATCTAATATAGTTTTTATATAATATTTTTTAATTATAAAATCGTTTTTCATTAACATATAATATAATTTTTATATATTTTTTTAACTATAAAACAGTTTTTATTAACATTATATATATATATATATATATATATATATATATATATATATATATATATATATATATATATATATATATATATATATATATATATATATATATATATATATATATATATATATATATATATATATATATATATATATATATATATATATATATATATATATATATATATATATATAAAACAGTTTTTATATAATTTTATTTTAATTATAAAACCATTTTTATTAACATTCTACATAAAATATAATATTATATTTGTTTTAAAAAAATATATTAACATCAAATATATACTGTTTTTTTTATAATATTATACTATTTTTTATAATATTATATTGTTTTTATATATGCATAATTATAAAAGAATTTTAAAATAATAACATTAAATATATATATTTTTTAATTATAAAACAAATTTTATAATAACATTAAACAGTTTTTACTAAATATATACATATTAAAACAGTTTTTTAAATATGTTTTTATTCAATACAAAAAAATATTTTTTTTATATATGTTTTTAATCAATATATAAAATATTATATTATATTTGTTTTAAATAAAATATATATTAACATTAAAACTGTTTTTATAAAATTTATATATTATTCTGTTTTTTGTTTTGTTTTTTATAATAAATAAATTAAATAAATTAAGATATATAACTTATCATAATATATATTTTTGTTTATTAATAAATATTTATTTATATATATTTTTGTTTTTTAACAAGAAGTACCTATATAATATATATTCTCATTTTTTAAAATTATATTTAATGAAAATTACAATATTATAATTTAATCAAATTCAACCTAAAATCTAATTAAATTCAGAAAATATATCAAATGTAAAATTTTTTTTCAAAAAATACCTCTTCTTTTCTAACTCGTTCAATCTTCTTATCCAACCTTTTTGCAATCTACTTCTACTATATCAATCTTCTTCTATTCAAAGAAAAATTAAAATAAATTACAATCCCATAATACAATATATAAAAACTTGTAAACAAAATAGAGACAAAATTAAATTAAATTTACCTGAAAAAACAAGGATTAATGGAGATTGAAGTTGAATTTTATGAAAAAGAATAGGTTTTATAATAGAGATTGAGTTGGATTTTATGAAGAAGAAGATGGTTAATGGAGATTGGGATGGAATGAGAGAGGGAGAGTTGTGTTTGATGAAAATATACTACTGTCTGCTTGGTGTAACGTGATTTAATTAAATATATAAACCATTCAGCGACGTGAAAATCACGCCGCAACTTTGTCACGTGGCTTTCACGTCGCAACAATGCCAACAATCATATTCTTTTTCTTCACATGCCTGCAAAAGCTGATCATGCCACTCTGAATTAATTTGACTTTTCCTCTTAAATGTTGCAACGTGAATACCACGTCACAACTGACTTTTTCAAAATTTCAAAAATCCCTCCATCTGAACGTTAGACCAATTAAAATATTTTATATTATATATTCACTAGCGACGTGATTCCCACGTCGCAACATATTTTGTTTTTAAAAAACTCAAACAATCATCATGCTTCTTTATTTTATTAATAAAATATATTGCCACGTAATTATCACGTCGCAACTGGCTTTTTTTAGCCACATGATAATCACGTGGCAAAAACACGTGGTTGGAGATAATATTTCTTGACCTTAACCTATTTGGTGTCTTGTGGCTAGCAGGCAAGAATAACGGCAGTGTGGCTTCTGAAGATTAAATTGGTATGGAAATGAGTGTCACCAATTGTGAACTCAGTGTAATGTTTTTGTCATTGTCGCTGGTTATCTATTGGCTTAGGGACAGAGTGCAACAAAACCTGTTAACTCGCTTTCAGGTAAATTTAACTAATTCATAGTTAATGGTATAGATATAATGAATACCATATTTGCAACTGTCATGTGATTTTCCCATACTTCTAAATGTTATTGTAGGGACCGAGACCTCTTCCAATTCAGGCATAAGCATATGTGCTTTGGTTGACATAATCTTAGGCTCAATTGCATGTGTAATTTCATTGTCTGCAATTTTTATTCTTTTACTATTAATAATAAGATTAAGACGTCATGATGCAATTTCCAAACCCCACCATTGTGAGTTTCTTCTTACTATGAATCAACTTCTTTGTTTAGTAGTCTTAATGTTTCCACACAAACCTTCGTTAGCATACTGACATACTAAAATAATTGCATGCAATGTATGTTTCTTTAATATTTTTCCTAATGAAAACTTTTTCCATAAGCTTTAAGCACCTATGTAGCACTAAGATTTCTGACACCGATATAACACTGACACATGTGGTTATATTCAACCACTTTTATTGTCAGTGATGTGTCTGTTCATATTTCATAGTTAAATAGTGATGTTAAAGAAATCTATGAATTCAACGTTACAAACACTATCTATTTATTTTAGAATTAAAGTATATTAATATAGATTTGTGTTGTTATTCACAGCATCTAAGATCGCAATACAAATTGATGGCACAAGAGCTTTTACTTATGAGGAGTTGTCTGCTGCTACCAGCAATTTTGACAACAATGCTCAAATTGGACAAAGAGGTTATAAGAAGGTTTATAAAGGTATTCCTTCTAATGGCATTATGGTGGCCATAAAACATGCACATCAAGGATCACTGCGAGGTGAGAAGGAATTTCTCACAGAAATTAGAACACTATCAACGATACATCATCGCAAACTTGTGTCTTTGATTGGATACCGTGATAAAGAAGGTGAACAGGTACACTTCATTTCAAAATTCAGAAATTTCATCAAATGTTTTGGTTTGTATTTCAATATTAAATACTTTCTTTTTATCTTCTTGCAAATTTGGTGTAATGTAATAAACTCACTCTCTTATTTCTTTCTTCGACTCTGTTGCATTTATACCATATGGACTGTTTCTTCATGACTGCAAATGATGGTTTATGAATTTATGTGCAATGGCCCTCTAAGGGACGTACCTTGGTACATCGTGTGTTCCAGTTTTCTAATTTACTAAATCGGTCTTTTAATTTTTTGGTCTCTATTGTATTTTATTGATTAGTAACAAGTAACAACAAACCTGAAATATGTTCTTAATGTTTTATTACAGTTACATCAGAAAAACCTTTGACTTTTGCTATGAGATTGAAGATAGCACTCGAGTCAGCTAAGGTCTCATGTATCTACATACAGAAGCTGATCCTCAAATATTTCACCGAGATGTTAAGTCAAGCAACATATTATTTATACTCTAAGTTTACTGCAAAAGTTGCAAAATTTGGACTTTCTCGGCTAGCCCATGTTTCAGATGTTCAAGGCATTGTACCTGGTCATGTCTCACATGATGTTGAATTTACTTGCTAAAATCATGTCTGTTATTTTCCAAATTCATGCTAAGTAACCATGATAGGCAATCAGATAAAAAAATTCTAGGTAACTACTCCAATGTCATGTAATATAACTTAATATCTAAACCAATAGGTAAAAGCTGATTCTCTATTTAGTTTATATACTTGACTACTTAGTTTGATTATCTACTTATTACATTTCAATTGTTTATCTACTTATTATATTTCAATATAGCTAAATCATATTTGAGACAGATAGTCAATTTCCAGGAGGAGAATGGATAAGTCATCAGCACCCCTTACATGCAAAAGCGGCAAGAGGTAAACCAGGTTTACCATTACAGGTTGGAAGGATACTCTTTGCACTACATGATGGTAGAATTGCAGAATTACATCTAGCAGGACTAGGTGGTGAGAGTGCAGAACCATCAACGCCACAAAACTTTAGAAGAAAAACATCATCAACCAAATATGTTTGGTCCATATTAGATGCACCATAGAGTGAAGGATGGAATGCAGAATATTGCACACAAGACCGCGGACCACAGAATTGTATGATATGTATAAAAGATGAGTCAAAAGACTCAGGAACAACAAGTTCAGTAACAGGTAGGAGAAAACAAAGCCAAGAACATCATTATTACTTATCTCTAGGGACAGGAAACGAACTGATTAGTTCTTTGGAAGAATACCAATACAATCTTCCTGATGATTGGATTAATAGTAATTTTCGCCTGCGGTTGATGTATGAAGGCATGTCATTTTTCTTGGTGACAAGTGATGGTTTGATTTTTGAACATGTTTCTATTGAGAGTGTTTGCATATGGCTTAAACATGATAGCTCTATCGAAATGAATGGTAAAGTAGGAGATTTGTATGTGCTACCTGAGAACCCAAGCTGCAAGCGATGTCATCAAGTTCAAAGGAATTACTTTGATGCCAAACATTGGTTATGGTTAAGACAAGAAGTCTTGCCACTATCTGCCTAACAGTTTAAAAAGTTTGTTATTGGTATTCAAAAAGTTTGAAGAATATATTATCTACCATTGTTCAAACTTAGTTATTGATATTATAGTGGAGTTTGGCTGCAAATTTGTATTCTATTAATAATAATTTTTTATCCATATTAACTTGCTTCCCTCAGTGGCTTTTGTGTTTTGTATATGAGCTTTTGTCAAAAGTGACATGTATGTATCTCATGGAGCATATCTATATTTAACTGAAGTCACCTTGTAGAAAGTTGTGCTTCATAATGAGTATTAAAGTAAGGCCTTAGATTGTCCTAATTTATTCAGGATGAGACCATTTTATTCATGATGAGCATTAGAGTCTAAGGTGATTAGATTTTCAGTTAGAATAAATATTGAACTTTCAGCTATAGGCTTTAGAGTATTTTATTTGAATTTTTTAAATTATAATATAATAAAGAATAAATAAAAAATTCAGCATTCATACTTTTTAATTCAATATATATATATATATATATATATATATATATATATATATATATATATATATATATATATATATATATATATATATATATATATATATATATATATATATATATATATATATATATATATATATATATATATATATATATATATATATATATATATATATATATATATATTAAAATGTTGAATCCCTGATTAAAGTTTTTGGCTCCGCCACTAATAGGCATCACAACAAAATAAAATAATAAGAATGAAGCTACACAAGTAATATTTAGACGTGAACTTTAAGTCCCATTGTTAAAAATGACAGTTGTATGCAACAAAAGTATACTAAACTTCTCCTTTTGTGTATCTTATTCTTTTCTCAAACAACTTCCAGATTAAAGGTTATTCATGGTTCCTATTATACAACTTTATGTTCTGATTATTAAGAAAAAAAATTGTCTGTAAATTTGTGGTTGACTAAGTGTAAGACCTAACAAAAAAGATATTTTTAGACTTAAAATGTTACTTGATTAGTAAAAAATTTAGTTTTTAATTATTCATGTTAAGTACCATTTACATTGACATTTAAACTTAAAAATATATTAAAAGTACCATCTACATTGACTTATTATATGGGTATGTGTATTACATAAGTAACTCTAACCATTTAAATTTAATTTGATTATTTAAAAGTAATATTTGAACTAAATTATATTTTTGTAAATATTGGAATATTAATTTGCGATTATAAATTTTTTAATAATATCAAAAACATGAAATTAGGGAATATTAGTTACTTATCAAAATATTGAATATTAACGGGAATATGAATTTACTGATCAAAATATTGAATATTAACGGGAACATAAAGTTAATGATCAAATTCACTACTAAAAAAATGACATTTGAGAAAAAGACTTTACATCAGGTATTAAAATATATGATATAAAAAATAAAATTAAAAATATTTTACATCAGATATTTATTTGCAATGATATAAAAAATATTTAAAAAAAAAATTTCGCTGGCTATTACCCTGATACAAGTAATAAATCGATGTAAAAGGTTTTATAAAAAAAAGACACGGTGGCAGTATTGTAAATAAAAAACTAAGTGGCAGATTGGTAAATAAAAAACCAGAAAACCCTTACATCGGGCCTTGCTATCCACCGATGTAAAAAACTAGGTGGTAGATTGGTAAATAAAAAACCAGAAAACCCTTGCATCGGGCCTTGCGTTCCACCGATGTAAAAAACCAGAAAATCCTTACATCGGTCTTTGACTTCCACCGATGTAAAAAACAACCATTACATCGGTTATTTACTAGAACCGATGTAAAAACATTATTCCGAATAACTATTACATCGGTTATTTCAATCCACCGATGTAAAAAGTGTAATATATATTTATGAAATAAATCCTACTGCTGTTCATTTAGTTATTTTCTCTTCAAAACAGAATCCCTACGAACGAGATCTGCACTCTGCCAACACCGTCTGCCAACATCGTCCATTCTCTCCGCCCACCGTTCCGCCAACACCGTATGTTCGTCTCCGCTACGAACGTCCTCCGTCCGTCTCTGTCTGCTACCAACGCCCTCCGACCGCCTCCCTTTCCTGCCGTTCACGAAGACGGTTCCAGTAAGAAACCCCCTCCGCCTTTTTCGAAACCACCTCTGCCGTCGAACTACGATTCCGATAAGAAATTTTCTATTTTGTTCAACTTCATTGTATATCTATGGATTTCTAAAAGATATATATATACAAAAAAGTTTTTAAGATATTCTTGTTGTTTTGCTTGCTACTGAGATACATTATAAAAAATTAGAAGTACATATAAAAATAATTAGATGATTATACTAGATACTAACTCAGTGGCTTGGTAAATCCATTCCTTTATTCATATCTGTTTTTTAATTACTAAACCGTTTATTATTTTTAGAGAGTTTATTAAGTCTAATTAATTATAAATAGTATATATTTTATATAAAGTTAAGAATATAATACATGTTATATATGTCATTCTTTTTCATTAGAGAAAGGCTCATCTTCTTGGTTTTACATGCTCACAATGAGCATGAGAGTTGGACTAATTAATTTAATACTTTTCTTGTTGTTTCAAGTATTGCATTTTAATTTAGCTTAATAGACTTTTAATTTCTCCGCCCTTACCTAACTGATCTAAAATATAATTAGAATATATGTTGCTGAGAAAGTAGCTTATGATGTATCTTACAGTTTTAATTGTTATAACTAGTAGAATGTATTTTAGTTGTTTGTTTGTGTTTCCATTTTTCTTCTTGATTGTGTTTGAATGTTTTGCAAGTTTTTGAAACGATTTGATTATTTCATATTTATGTTACCAACTTTAAATGAATATATCAGCGGTGTTATAATTTTTGGTATCAGGGAGCACTTAAGCATCAATAAGCTAATAATAGGACCATGAAAAGAATTTAAAACATTTCTACCAAATATCTTAACATAGTGAACATCTTATTAAGTTCATATCTTACTAAGTCATATTTGAGTTTCTACCAATGTTCACTTAGAAATGGGGTAAATGAATGATATACGAGTTTTTTTTAGTTCTTTTGAGAAATTTTTTTAGTTCCTTTATGTATGAGTTTTTAAAATTTCATCTAGATTTGTAATTATCTTATGCCGAAGTATCTAGATTGGTAATTACCTTTTGCCGAAATATCCAAATACATCATATTTGTAAGTAACCATTAAGTACCTTTCAAATTATGCTGATCTAATAAACGTATCTCATCCCATAAGAAAGCCTCAAATAATCAGGGGAATTAATATGTGGTGAGCTTGTAGTCGCCCGAAACAGACCTATCGGTCACCCAACTGAGTTGGGCTTCCCAATATGACCTGATTCGAAACCTACAATTCATACCATCTAACGCACATGTTTAGTGTCTGAGTAGTAATGATCTTGAGAATCAGTCAAGGTAGAATAATTGTTTCCTCTACAGTGGAAGGAGAATGTGTTCCCTCTATTCCACATTTTGGAGGTAATGTAAGTGTGGTGTAAATTATAATTCTATAGTTAAATTTATGATAAATATTCACTAATTATGTCATTCAATTGTAGACAAAGCAACAACATAACTCTAATAATTGTGGGTACTATGTGATAAAAAATATGTTGAATATTGTCTCTGTTAATATAACCGAGAATTGGATGCAGGTAATAAAAATAACTTTACGTTGTTATTTATTTTTTTTTTTGCAACTTAATATGAATTTTTAAAGAATAACTCTATATTGTTATATTTATGTATTATAGGTATTTGATGACCCAACAGAATTAACACAAGATGATTT